CCATATTTTTCTCTGGGTTAATATTCAGATATAGATTCTGTCGTACTGCTGATTATGGAAGTGCTAGAGCCAGTGCCACTAATGTCTCCATTTGTCACTGCTGTGAGCCAGAGTGCCTGGTTGCAGAAACAGTCGCAGAAATAGCTTCGGACCATGTCCTTCGCCCATTTTAAGCAGTGATCGAAACAAGGGCAATGTTACAGATCTGCAGGGCGAAGTGGGAATAATGGTGCGCACTATGCCAATCGAAAAATGAGGTTGCTAAAAAACAACTAAGTATTGGGTTAATACATGAGTAATGGCGTTTTCTCCTCACTCGAAATCTCAGGTGAAAAGGTGGAAAGTTTTGCCATTGTGTTTCACACTATTTTGTAGAGAATCACTTGCCCCACAAGATGGTCCACTTAATTGTTCTGAAGATTCCGTTCTCACTAAATTTTAGGTATTCAAACAGGAGTGCCAGGCGTTGAAATTGACGTGTTCCAGTTTACAGCCTCTCCTTTTTACATCTAATTATGTGGCTGAAGCAGCGCAGGACCTACTAAGTTGTTGAGTATATGGCCAAGAAGCATTGTCTCTTAGGAATGCTTATAGCGTTATGAGCGATTTGATGACTCCATTTTCGACTTCACAGACAAGAGCCGAACCTAATGCCCCATTGTGTCCTACTGAAAGTTCACTGAATATCCTTATTCGCGCTGACCGAGAAATAATGGGGAAATGATAGATGTCGTACAAGGCTTTTACGTTCTCTTTCAGTATCACCTTCACTTGACAGGAGAGTTTATGACTTGGTGGATAGCTCCTACTGGCAGTCGGCCCCAAAAGCACGCCCCATGCGATCACTTTTATAAGGTCCTAATTTCTATCTCTGAATCGCTAGTATCCGTTCAAAGTTGGCTAAAAAGCCTCATTCCTCGTTCATATATATCACATGTTTGAGCTTTTTCTGCAACTTGGGAGCCGAGCCAAAGTGCAAAAAGTACTTGGTGAAAAATTACACTTATGCCGATCGAACACCTCACTTCAATGGATAAAAAAATTGGCAACAACAAGAAGAATTGATAAGGCAACTCTACGATCCTGTAGAGCAGAAAATTATCCACCGATCAGCCTAGAAGTCGTGAAACAGTTCTCACTTTTGTTATGAAAATTTGTATTAGAAGAAACGCCAGCATTTATGAGCCAACCCCAAGAAGTAGGTCATGCCCTCCCCAATATATTATAGAATCGCATTTGAGAGTGAGCAAGAGGAAGGAGGGAGGGAGCATTTTGTATTTCCGTGCTTCACTAGTTCCGGTTTACAGTCTCACTCTGGTGAAACCTGTGAACTCTTGTGAAGCTGGAGCAAGCTCGTCAAGCCATCATGGTAAAACCTGTCAACTCGAGAAGAGGCTGTCTAGATAGGTCGACACGTCGATGGGAAGTAGCAAAAGTGCAAAATGCCCCCCTCCCCTCCCGTCGCCGAACTGCTCCTCTTAGCTATAGTTTTATTATTTGGTTTTTGGTCGTACGTTTAATCGTTAGTAACTGTAGTACTTCTTGTTATATGTATAGGTTGAGCACCTTCGATGGAGAGAATCACGAATTTGATTTTGGAGGAGTGAAACGATTCGCTTCTTAAACTCAGTTTTCAAACATGGATAACTCAAACCTCTTACATTCTGGTGAAATTTTTTTGCGACAGAGTAAAGATTAAAAGAATGAGAAGCGAAAACCCAGCATCACTTCAGTAGTTGCTTCGGTTGCAGTTCTCGAGAGCAGCATTACTCTAGGTGATAAAATTGTTAAGATTGTTTGACAGACCTTCAAGTAAAGAACCAGTTATTGGTGAGCTAGAATGATCTCCTGCCTGTAGTAGCAGATAATTGGCAAGCCGAAGTTCCAAAATGGATCACAAATGCAAGGTGCGAAGCTCTAAAGAGCACAATCAGGCACACCGTTCGACAGGTCAGTGTCTGCAGAGCAAAAAGAAAATTGAAAAAAAACCTAACCGGAATCATAGAAATCCAGAAATCGAAGGCTCTCGAAACTTCAACGATCATACCGTAAGACTTTGGTTGTTTGGAGAAGTCCGAGATGAAAAGTACAGACTTCTTGGTGTGACGCTTGAGTGACAGGAACATTCCGGAACAACTTCTAATAGAGACGGATGATAAACCCTGTCGACCTCAGCGATACATGTCCGCCGTCTGAGGGGGAGTTTAACCTTTCACGCGCCTTTTAGAGGTTACAGGGCAATCTGCACCGAAGGTCGTTGTAGGGCCAGCAATTCGACGCCTCCACCGCCTTCTAATTGGTGTTCACCAATAGACAATGTAGATGTGCGTGCTGACTAATCGCTCATTTTTCCAATCATGCCAACAATCAACGCGACTTTTTTTGTGCTGATTCGCAACGGTAACATCGACCGTCTAATTATTCTGCGGCCCACGAATCCCATCCAATTGAGAACTGTACTGTTGTTTTGTTTAGGAACTAATTCTTCGGCGTGTCAAATCCTTTCCAATAATTATCCTCACGAGAGAACGCGATCAATCATCCATCCACAAAGTCAATGGCATTGAGAGTTTTCATAATGACGACAAGTGGCCTGGAGTAGCTCTACAAGTGCGAGAAAAAGCAGTAAGAAAAAAACATGCCGACTTGCGCTAAATAAATTTAGGTTGGTCGAAAAGTCCTGCGACATCTTTGTTCTTGAACATATCTAGAAAAAGACCAAAAAATCATTTTGAATGTTTTTATCTCTGATTAGTGGAGAATGTCTCCTGAGGTTTCTGAAAATGGGTATATCATGGCTCCGTGGAAGTTTTCAAAGCTTAAAAATACCTCAAAGATCGAGGTACTCCTCGACCTGTCCCATATTATGAGTTCCTGTAGGGCAACTCCCCCATAGTCGAGGAAGCTAACTCTTACGTTGTCTTAAGGAAGGATATCGCTTGCCATAGCAGAGAGTTCCTTTTGCATCAGCGCTTCCAGGCTGGACTTATTCAACTCGGAA